GACCCATGTGAATGTGTGTCTGCTGGAGAAAACAGTTGCAACTTTAAAAATTTGACTTGGGGAAAAAAGAAAGTGCTGTTTTCCCTCTAGAACTTTTAGTAGCTTCTTTTGTTGCTGTAAAATTATATTCATTAACCAAGCCCCTGGGAGAACTGCCGTGTTGGAGCGGCAGTTGGAAATAATGCTGCAGAATGAGATGAAAGTTCATCCAAAGGTTTGCACAATTTCAGGGCCTCAAAAAATTGAGATATTAAGCAAAGAGTCCAGCAGAACCGTGCACCTTGCAGTGAAACTGCTCGGGACCCTGATTCCTGCACTTACAGAGAATCGAAGTGACTGCCTGCTCCACAATTGCCCCTCAGCTTCCTCCAACAGCACAACCCCACCTCAAAACACGAAGAGAGTCTGACTACCCTGGCAAGGCTTAGAAGTCCAAATAAGAAAAAGTGGAAATCGATGAAAAGCCCGTTCTTACTATTCTACCAGAAAACAGAAAGTGGAACTTGTTAACGGTCTTTATTCTTTCATTTACCAAACTGTGTCAAACTGCATCTGGCCCTGTAAGCCCCTGAACTGAAGAAAAGGAACATGCGAGACGGTAGGTAATAGCTCATCCCTAGAAGGCTCACGCGGGAAAACCCATGGAAGGTGAATGTGTAACATGGAGGCAATGAAGGCTAGACTCCCCATCCACAGTCCATGGACAGACAAAGCAATTTTGGCCCTCCACGAGCCCTTTCCTCCCCAGCTCCTCCTCAGGGAGCCAGCGCCTCACTCCAGTGCTTCTCACTTCTTACCTAGTGTTCCAGTACATCTGATAAATTAGAGCTGGGAAAGACTGGTTTGACTGGTTTGACTATTTGGGGTTCACCCAGTAACCCACATGCTTAGGCCCTTTCAAGTTTCTGCAGACGCTGCTTTCCAGCACAGATGAGCGACTGCGCTGCTTGAATGTAAATGCAAGTTAACACAGTGCCCCAGTGTGTCTATTAACTGGGCTAAAGATTTACATTTTGAGGTTGAACTTTCCCTCTCTATTAAACCATTAATTTCATAGGCTGGGCAAGGAGAAAAGTCCCAGGCACACAGACAAGGTGACCTCCGTGCTGCCCACAATAAAAGACTTCCTCCAATAACTAGTATTTTCTTCTAGCTTGAATCTTCTTTACAGATATGTTTTCAAAACTCGGCAAAGTCACTATTACGACCAGCCTAGAAATAAAAACCCACTTGGGCCGCTTCATTACATCTTACAGGAAATACTATTTTGCTTAGCTCTGAACAAGAACTCTTCCCTGAGTTTTCCCAGGTAATAATGCACTAGGTTTAAAGGATAATCATGAGAAGAAAAAAAAAAAGAATGTTTAAGGCTTTCCATAAATAAACCTCAAAAATACCATATAAAGAAAAGCTGTCGCCTGTTACAAAGGCCTAGCACTTTTGCCAACCTTTTCAGAATAATGATACAGAAATTGGGGGCCACGTTTTTCACACTTACAAAGAAATAAAACTGGCATACGAGTGATCACCGACACAAGGCGCCTTGCACCCCAAAAATGATCCAGCTTCATCTGTGTTTCCTGGTCTCTCGCTGATCACTCCTGGCACAAAGCCCTATGCTGAAAAACACCTAATAAATATTCACTGATGATGACAACTTTTATCTGCCCTGAGACTGGGACAATACCCTGGCCTGTCTGAGGTCACTGGCATCACGCCACCCAAATCACAAATGCAAGCAGCAGGTGGGCGCTGGAGCAATAAAGGAGTGTGTGTGGCCACAGGAGGGACACTGCGGGGCGGGACCCTTCCCTGCCGGAAACCACCACAGCCTGCCAGCCGCAAACGGGGATGGAAGGAAGGTTCCTCCGGAGCTTCCACCAGGGGATTCGGCACTTCAGCCTGCCTGGAGAATTTCATTAGAATTTCAGAAGCTGAGAAATTATTTCAACACGACAGTTCACAATGCAAAGATGCACACTTATCATCTTTTACATTGAAAATATTTTGTTGGGGGTGTGTGAAAGGAATTTCCATGAGTACATATAATCTCTGATTTTTAAAAATTTCAAATATGGAAAAGTACCAAATAACTTGTATTCAGCAGTGCTGATAAGAACCTAATATCTTATTTTTTATAAGCAGATTATTTTGTTAGAGAGTATTATAATAACTCACTTTCCCCTTAGAAATTCTCCCTGCTTATAGATGTTAGCTAAGCTCCATTAGCACAAAAGGTGGCCTGTCTTTTTTCTCTAAAGATAAAAACATCCTGCTCATAGTTTTAAACTCTTTGACAACACAACAACAAAAGCCCTCAACTTCTCTCTGCAGCGTCATCCTAATGAAATCTAACTGGAAAACGATAAAGCGACAGAAATCCCAGGCTTTGAGATATTTTTAATTGCCAATTTTCCTCTTGCACTGAGGCATTAATCCTTGAAGAATAGAAAGTAGACTTGCCAATAACCCAGCAGAGAAGGGGCATGGGAGTAAGAGAAGGAAGGAAGCACATAATGGTGGGAGAACTCCCCCTGTCCCCGCAGAAGCCTCTATTGAACCCACCCCGTCCCCACCCTGCCTGCCCTCCTGGGCCTCCCCGCCTGCTAACTGGAAGGCAGCCCAGAGCAGCATTGGTATTCAAATTAGTCTGCCAATCTCTGCCTGGCACAGCTCTTGGTGGCCTGTCAGTACATGGCTGGAAGACAAGGTACACAGATCTTAGATCTGGGGAGATCCAGCCAGATTTCAAACCCACCCAGGATACGTGTCATCAACCCATCCACGGGATGTCTTGAGGCGGAAAGTGTTTTCTTCTCCATCGTCTTTATTTTTATTAAAACAAAACAAACAAACAAAAAACCCCAAGAAGACAATGCATCTCCAACAGAGATTTAAAAAGACAGAGGAAGGGGGCTATGCAGAGTCAAGCGAGGCATTCAGCACTAAACATCGGTTTCCATGGGAACGAGAGCTGCTTTGTGGAGCTCCGGCAACTTCCCACTCGCTCTCCCCCATAGAACCGGGACCACAGTCTCTGGCATTGTGTTTGTGTGGCCAACTTTTCTTTTTTCTCATTCACTCCCCCTGCCTCTGCCTATCCCCAGCAACAACCCCCATCGCCACACAAGCAAAAAGGAGAGGAGTGCCCAGAGGTCTGGCTGGATTCAATCAAAAAGCACAAAAGGACCGGCAACGGGGAGCCCTCATGCTGCCCAAAGGACCCTGCCATCCTTTCGTCTCGTCTCATTTTTCATCCCCTCTTCAAGCGGCTCATGAGGACTATTTCTTAACTCTTTTCCTGCACAACACACAATCATTGTGTATCAGTTTTAAATTACATTTTTACATGCATAAAATGCTCTAGGCATATTGGATTTTCTTATTTTTTTTATTTTGTTTTACTCTATTTTTGACGGAGTCCCCCTCTGTCGCCCAGGCTGGAGTGCAGTGGCCCGATCTAGGCTCACTGCAACCTCCGCTTTCCGGGTTCCAGCAATTCTTCTGTCTCAGCCTCCAGAGTAGCTAGAACTACAGGTGCACGCCACGACACCCGGCTAATCTTTTTTTTTTTTTTTTTTAGTAGAGACGGGGTTTCACCACATTGGTCAGGCTGGTCTCAAACTCCTGACCTCAGGTGATCCACCCCCCTCAGCCTCCCAAAGTGCTGGGATTAACAGGCGTGAGCCACTGTGCCTGGCCAGATTTTTTTTAATAGTAATAACCTAAATAGAAAATAGTGCTGAGAGGAGCATGATTTTAAAGCAAACTTAGTAAATCATCAAAATGTTGATGTATTCTGTTGGGGTGCATGTGCACGCGTGTATACAATAGAGGGAGGGTGACAGAGAGGAACTTTTAGAAGGTCATTCCTGCCTACCTTTGATGAAGGCATGTAGTTCAGTGTTCAAACACTGGGAGGTGAGGTGAAAACCCGAAGTTCATCTTCTCTATTTAACTAAATACCTTTAATTTGGTGGAGTTTTTTTTTTTTTTTTTTTTTTTTTTTTTGAGACGGAGTCTCGCTGTGTCTCCCAGGCTGGAGTGCAGTGGCGTGATCTCGGCTCACTGCAAGCTCCGCCTCCCGGGTTCACGCCATTCTCCCGCCTCAGCCTCCCGAGTAGCTGGGACTACAGGCGCCCGCCACCTCGCCCGGCTAGTTTTTTTTTTTGTATTTTTAGTAGAGACGGGGTTTCACCATGTTAGCCAGGATAGTCTCGATCTCCTGACCTCGTGATCCACCCGCCTCGGCCTCCCAAAGTGCTGGGATTACAGGCTTGAGCCACCGCGCCCGGCCAATTTGGTGGAGTTTTTTTTTCTAATTTATTTTTACTTTTAAATTTAAAAAGGGAAATATTTATGAATCTATTACTCAGAAGCTGTCATGCAAAACATTTTAACACATAAATCCTCATCATTTTGCTAAGTGTCAGAACTTTTTTTTAATGAAAGAAAAGGTGTTTTTTTAAACACTGTTCATAAATCACCACTAAAATATTTAGTGCTACGAGTTTTTGAGGTTTCAAAGGCACTCCTTTCTTTAAAAGGTTTACAGAATGCTTCAAAATCTACCCAGGCAAAAACCCCCTTGTCATTCTCAGGCAAGCTTTCAGATTCAAAGACGTTTGCATTTTGTTTGTAAGTATTTATTTAGGAGATCTGCAATTCGTTTTCTTTTGCAAGATGAAAATGTCAATTTTCATCATTTAAATTCAAACTTGTAAAAAAAAAAAGTTCAGCATATTTATGTGTAACTGAGCTGCAATCTTACCATTTTGAAAGGTTTCTTCGAATATACGGCATGAAAGGAGTTATTAAAGATTGAGAGCCATTTAGAGCTTTGGTGAATAAGAAATATGATTTGTCCATAAAAGCCAGAAATCATTTTTAAATCCATCTTTTCCCTCATTCACCTCCCTCATGAATATAATGCCTCTTTATCACAAAGATGTTAGGACACTGGCAATCGGTATTGATTCTTTTACATCCGCACAACTCACCTATTCTGTCCTCTCCCACAGAATTGTTCAGGATCCACTTAAAACATTATTTCTCAAAATGTGAAGCAGACGCGAACCCTGAGCTTGCTCCTTTACTTCCTGGATCACTTTTACATACTCTCCTCCCTTTCCTCCTCTCCCCCAACCCCCCTCCCTTCCCGTCCTTCCCAGAAAGAGGCATTGAGTCAGGATGCCCTGAAGACCAGAGCAGATCAGTAACTAGCAATAATTGACAGTAACTAGTAAAGGGGTCCCAATCCAGTTTCTTGGACCTCCCACAAGAAAGATTGTGGGATGAGTCCATTAGGAAAGTGAAAGCAAGTTTATTAGGAAAGTAAAGGAATTAAAGACTGGCTACTCCATAGGCAGAGCAGCAGCATGGGCGGCTCAAGTGATGGTACTTCTTCACTATATACTTCTTGATTATATGCTAAACAAGGGAGGAATTATTCATGAGTTTTTCAGGAAAGGGCTGGGCAAGTCCCAGAACTGAGGGTTCCTTCCCTTTTTTGGCCATATAGGGTAACTTCTCGACATGGCTATGGCATTTGTAAACTGTCATGGCGTGGAGGGAGTGTCTTTTAGTGTGCTAATGCATTATAATTAGTGTATAATGAGCAGTGAGGACGACCAGCTGTCACTTTCATCACCATCTTGGTTTTGGTGGGTTTTAGCCGGCTTCTTTACCACATGCTGTTTCATCAGCAGGGTCTTTGTGACTTGTACCCTATGCTGATCTCCTATCTCATCCTGTGACTAAGAATGCCTTAATCTCTTGGGAATGCAGCCCAGTAGGTGTCAGCCTGATTTTACCCAGCCCCCGTTCAAGATGGAGTCGCTCTGGTTCACTTAACCTTTGACACCCCTGCCTTGAAACATGGGTAGGTCTCTTGAAGTCCCAAAAAGGTTTTCACTGGGCTTTACTGCGTCTTCTATTTACCTTCTCTAGTCACACACCATAAAAATCATCCCTGAGAAACATCATAGCTACCAGGGAGCCTCACACTCTCAGGTCCTGGCATTGGAAGGCAGCTGGAGGTCAGCAGAGCCATTCTTCTTTCCTTCCCCTCAGGATAAAATCTTGAGTGCGTGGCCTGAACTCACACTGCTTGCTCCCTCTCTTTTTCCCTCAGCCTCTGTGGCCTCACTCCCACTCCCACCAGTATGCAAAACCATGTTCCTGAAGGTCTTCATTCTGTTCCCCCATTACCCATCAGAAGCACTTCCCTTTTGTGTTTCCATGATGCTGACATTTTCTGTTGCTTCCCCTACCTCTTTCCCTGATCCTATTTCTTTTCCTGAGTCCTCATCTCCTTCCTTCTTTCTTTTGTATTTGCCCTCTGGCCTCACCTTTGCTCATTTAATTTCAACTCCAAGTCCACATCAGTTAACAAACCTCATCTTTCCTTAAACCTCCTCAGCTTCCCTTCCATACATGCCAATTGCAGTTTCTCCAGGTGAGACATCCCTCACCCATACCTGGATTATTAAAAAGGCCTCCCAACAGGTGAATTCTAAATTCAAAATTTCAATGGCTTCTAAACAGGAGGCTGACCTAGAGAATGCAAGAATGTATGGTCTTTAAGAATAGGGACTATCTTACTCAAGTTGAATTTTTAGTCATGCCCAGCACATCATAGATTCGCAAGAAACCCAGGAAAATCCTAGGTTTAGTGGACTCTAAAAGGTATACACACATTCATTCAAAAATACTCATCATGTCACTACTAACCAATAGAGACACAGTAGCAAAATACATCAAATGGAGACTGCATTTTTTGAAACTCCCAGTCGAGTGGAAGCAAAGATATTAAACCAATAATCATTAAAGTAATTAATTATAATAAAATATAAAGTAAAAGCACAAGGTGCAGGGGAAATGAGTAACAGCTGTGGGAAGCACAGAAGCCACCTTTGAGGGGCCTGGGTGGGACCTGAAGAGTCCCAAGGGTGAGTGGGCTGGGTGGGCTATGGGAGCAGCCTCGTAGATGGGGGCTGGAAAGCACCTGGTGGATTGAGGTTTGGAAAACCCACTGTGAGGCTGAGGGATGATGATAAACCAAGGCTGTGGTGCAAGGGGAGAGCCCTCGGTCTTTTGGGGAAAGCCGGACTTCACCTAGAATAGAGGGATTCCATGACACACAGTGCGTGATGGTACCTTCCAAGCTTGTTCCTGTGGATTTAGGGTGGGTCACACCACTTCTCTATATTTGTTGCCACAACCTTAAAATCTTCACAATAAATACAGCGAAACTTAAGGATGACTGGTTGGAATGCAAAGGCTTTGACATTGTTTGGCTCTGTGTCCCCACCCAAATCTCATCTTGAATTGTAATCAGGGGAGAGGCCTGGTGGGAAGTGATTGGTCATGGGGGTGGACTTCCTCCTTGCTCTTCTCATGATAGTAAGTTCTCATTAGACCCAATGGTTTAAAAGTGTGTGACATTTTCCCCCTCACACTCTTTCTCTCTCTCTCCTGTCACCATGGAAAGAAGGTGCCTGCTTCCCCTTTGTCTCCCACCATGATTGTAAGTTTCCTGAGGCCTCCCTAGCCATGCTTCTGTACAGCCTGTGGAACTGCCAGTCAATTCAACCTCTTTTCTTCATAAATTATCCAGTCCCAGGTAGTTCTTTAAGCAGTGTAAGAATGGACTGACACAGGCTTGAAATAAGAAAATGTTTTACTTTCCCGTACCAGTAACAGGGCAAGTTAACATTGCTATCTAAGACAATCACAGAGGCCAGGCAAGAAGGGAACAGCCTTGCACCTGAGCCCCGGGTGATGTGCACACAGAGTTCGTGGTGACAAGTCCGTCTGTCTGCGCACACGTTCAGATCTGACAGCGTCAGGCATGTCGTGGACAGGACCGCCCCAGCCCTGTGAGAATCATTTCCTCTTGGGCCTTGGGGAAACAATCCTTTCAAGAAGCAGCTTCTTGAAGCTTGGAAAACATCTAATCAGTAAGGCAGTATGCCAGCAAGACTTCTTGAAAAGGTGGCCCCCAGAGTTTTCTGACAATACATTAGCTCTCTGGGGATGCACCTGAGAACCCCTTTGGAAGGCAGCACCATTTCACGTCCACATTTTGTGACCATGACCTCAAAAACAGGTACACTCTTACAAATTTAGAAAAAAATAGAACAGCCCTGCTTTACACCTAACTCCTGCACCTACCACCCATAAGTTAATAAACAGGAGATGGCAATACTTTACTTTGACCTTTCACTGAAATAATTTGAGATTATTTTGTTTTTATCAGCATCAAATGCACAGCTGCTGCAATCCTGTAAGACTCAAATATCAAATGCAACTTTCACCAAATGGTCACACCAGCAAAAGCTTCCTCTACTTCTAATGTCCCTCTGTGTGTTGATTGGGTTGATTGCCCCATAGATAGGTTCTTCATCATTTAATCAACAAGAATTAGCATAAGGGTAGGCATTCACATTCATGCTTACTAAAAATAATGTGACAAAAAAGGCTTTGGGATAAGGCTAGCTTCCAGATTACCAAGTTAAATAAGTGTGTACCATTACTTTAAATTTGCAAGTACTTTAATGTTTTAAGAATGTTTCCTATGTATTTATCTGGTTCACTAATCATTCATTCAGCTTGTCTGCGTGGCCTGTATCCTGAGAAGTTTTGTGAAGTTCAGTGTTATTATGCCATCTTAATTTAATCAGGATGACGTTTTCAAACTTATCAATGTGCAGATTTGTTAGAATATAGGTTTGTCCACTATCGCAGAAACCACGAATGACAGTAGCTTAAAAAAGATGCAGGTTTATTTCTCTCTCATAAAATAGTGAGAGGAACACCCGGCTGGAAGGGCAGCTCCCTTCTCCTTGTTGCTCTGTCTTCCATAAGGTTGTGAAAGGAAAATAAATCTTGGGACCCCAAAATCACTAAGTTAAGGAGAAAAGTCAACCTGGGAACTGCTTAGGGCAAACCTGTTCGATTCAAAATCATCCCTCTGCTCACTGAGATAAATGCATATCTGATTGCTTCCTTTGGAGAGGCTCATCAGAAACTCAAAACAATGCAGCTGTTTGTCTCTTATCTACCTACAACCTGGAAGCCCCCTCCCTACTTCTAGTTGTCCTGCCTTTCCAGACCCAACCAACATACATCTTAACATATTGATGACTCAGGTCTCCCTAAAATGTATAAAACCAAACTCTGCCCTGACCACCTTGGGCACATGGCACCAGAACCTCCTGAGGCTGTCACAGGCACATATCCTTAACTTTGGTGAAATAAACTTCCTAAATAGACTGAGACCTCTCTCACATATGTGAGGTTCACAAGGTGCTGTGCTCTGCACCAAAGTTGGCTTATCCCACATTGGTATCCTGGACAGCAGAAGGGAAGAGGAGGTACCGTCTGGAAGCTCCACACATCCTTCTCTATACACCCCATTGGCCAGGACGTAGCCTTATGGCCAAAATGAGCTGCAATGGAATCTTGGAAACATGGCCTGGCTAGGCAGCAGCATGTCTAGGTAGAAATTCTAACACGAATGCAAGATAAGAAGTGTTGAAAAACGAGTTAGACTCCATAACATATTTGAAGAGATTTACTCTGAGCCAAATATGAGTGACTAATGGCCTATGACACAGCCCTCAGGAGATACTGAAACACGTATCCAAGGGTCAAGCTATAACTTGGTTTTATACATTTCAGAGACACATAAGACCTCAATCAATACATAAGACCTCAATAAATACATGTAAAATGTATATTTGTTTTGTCAGGAAAGATGGGAAAACTGGAAGCAGGGAGCATCCAAGTCATAGGTGGATTCAGAGATTTTCTGATTGGCAATTGGTTGAAAGAGTTCATCTAAAGACCTGGAATCAATAGAAGGGAGTATCTGAGTTCAGATACGGGGTTGAGGAGATCTAGGTTTTATCACACAAATGAAGCCTCCCTGCAGCAGGCTTCAGACACAATAGATTTTAAATGTCTCTTATCAGACTTAAAAAGTCTTTCTGTCAGTCTTAAGGTTTCTGTTTTAATGTTAATGCTGGTCAGCTATGCCTGAATTCCAAAGAAAGGAAGAGATAATGAGGCATGTCTTACCCCCACTTCCCACTGTGGCCTGAATTCATTTTTCAGATTAATTT